CACTTCATAAAAGAAATGTAAATAACTAAATAACCAAACCGTGTGACAAGATTAGACACATAATTATTTCAAAAATGAATAATTTTGAGTTAACTCTTATGATTCAGATTTATTTTGAATATTTTTAAAATTCAAGAGCAGCCGCCCGGTGGTACATGGATCAATTTCCCAACGGAATGGTTACGTCACAACAAAAGTTTCGAAGATTGAAAGCAAAAAATATGGTGCATTTAAGAAGCCAGATTTTCTGAGAAATTCAACATTTAACGTTCTTAAAAGAAGTCGGCTTTGTATCGAACAAAATGGTGGCCAGTTTGAAGAGAAGCTATAAAATTTATTATGATTATTATACCATATTATGTATTACTTTGGTTTTGTTTCAGTATAAAATTAAAAAAATCTGTTTATTTTATTGATGCTGCTTGGCATTTTTATTTTTATAAAAGCCATAACCATGGATACGCATATTATTAAATTGGAAGCATTTTGTGGGTGTCCTGATGCTACTGCGATATGTAAAAATTTTCGCAGTTTTATTTTTTTTTCTTAGTGTTTTATAATTAAAATTATGATATTGATATACCGTTATGCTCAGAAAAGCATAAGAAATGCTAAAAAATAATAAAAAAATATAGTTGTCATTTGAAAAATAAAAGTTGACTATCAGTGCTCACAAGCATCATAATAAAAAAAATATTTTTAACAGTCGAATCATAGAAGACATCATACCATTTAAAATGGTTTTTGAATTTTGAAAATCGGATAAGGAATAACGTTGCTACAGCAATGGCCGTTTTTTATGCAGTCCTCTGTATATACATACGTAAGAAAATAACTACTCACCACAGTATTGAAATTTTGACTGGAACTATACGTGCATTCACCACAACTTCGCCGCTTGCATTGTTTTCAAAATGACTGACTATATATAGGGTATATAGGTATGTATAGGACCCATAGTTTGGGATTTATGGTTGTTCTATAGGGATATCCACCCTTGATTTATTTGCTATTGGTTTCAATGGGGAAAATACACATAAATGTAGAAATTAGTTTTCCCCCATAGGACCCCATAGGTTTTAATACAATTTTGTCACATGTGGTGTGGTTGTTCTATAGGGATATCCCTATATATCCTTCATTGAATTATTTGCTATCGGTCTCAATAGGGAAAATGTAAAAGTTATGGTGTGCCTATAGGTAATTTCCTATAAATTTTCTAGGCCGTGTCCAGAAAAAACCAAGGACAAATGCACATATTGAATCCGGTTGCGCCCGATAGATTATTTTATATAGATCTCTATTGGTTATTTTAAGCAGGGAAACGAGGACTTGACGTTTATACTTCAATATTTCGCAGGAATTTTGAATTTTAACATTGCGCGACCTGAGAATTAGATTGTTCTATCTCCCAAAATTTAAAGTGGAACAAATAGCAGTTTAAAGTTTAATTTATATACAAATGAAATTTTAAAAAGCTGTTTTTCCGTGTTTAGGTTTTGGGAGATTCTATCTTTTTTTATTTACTTAAGTTGCAGCATTTGCATTTTGACGACACTCTCCATAAATTAGTAACATTTCCACTAATTCATTATTGCTATAATTATGAACCATTTTTAACAATAATTGAGGCACAAAAAAACTTAGGTAAATAATGACATTTTTCATTGCTAAATGTCATTTTGATAAAAAAGTTACTTAAAATATTTATTTGTTTATCTGATTTTTACACGCTGTTAAAAGGAACGCGTCAACTTAAAACTCACCCTGTATATACAAGGTGTCCCTAAACTTAGTGGCATAAATTTAGGAGCAGATTAAGCAAGTAAAATAAGACGAAAATCTAAATAAATATTTTTTCTACGACCACTATGTAAAAGTCACTTTTCATGATGGCATCGTTGGCAACGATTCGTTGCTTAGAAAATGAATCTTTTCATTGGCAAGGCAAAACACGAATGTAAAGTGACATTTCTGTGTGAAAAGTGACAGGTCTGTGTGAAAAGAACCGGAAAGCATCGTTTGACATTCAGCTGTCAAAAAAGTTTTTAAGTTATTTTGTTTTGTATTTAAAAATAATAAAAAATAAAAGGGTCGCAGAAAAAGCATTGTGTTATACTTGTGAGAAAAGCTTTCTTCAAGCTCGTGTTAATGCACACTCGGCCTAACGGCCTCGTGAGCAACTTAAAAACTCGCATGAAAAAGTCGCTTTTCAACACTTGTAAAACAAATGACTATTTCCTAATTACGTATGTTTAAAAGATACAGGGTGATAAAGTGTTATTTATCATATCAGTTTTTTTTAATATAACTTTTACTATGGTAAACTTGGAAAGGTGATATTTTGCGAACAGTCACTCACTACCAAAACACATATTCACACATAATTACAATTGTTCGAATAAACACAGTGTCGTAGAAATAGGGGTTGCTTAAGCTTATTGTCCCATAAAAACTTTGAGGTTAGGTTTTTATACCATTTGATGCAATTTTTCGATTACTCAGTTCGGCTACTATTAAAAAGATGTACCTCTCAAACTTTGATAAAATAAACCGTTTCCGATAGCTCATGGAATGCCTTTTTTAGTTTTTTCAATTAAAAAATAAAATTTGTTATCATCCCAGTGAACCAAACCGTGACTTATGATCTAAAATTTACGTAACACGTAGATCATATGTAGGTAATACAATTTTTACGTCATAGTGACATAATACTGACCCAAAACGTGACTTTCATATGATGTAATTAAATGACTTACATATTACGTACATCTTATGTAATATTAAAGTCATATCGTGACGTAACATTAAAGTCACTTTTCTTACGTAAGACTGACATAAGAAATCTGTCATAATATTACATAAGTTTTAGGTCACTGTTTTATGTAAGACTGACGTAATAAATCTGTCATAATATTACCTAAGTTTTAGGTCACTTTCTTACGTAAGGCTGACGTAAGAAATACGTCATACTATTACATACGTTTTAGGTCACTTTCTTACGTAAGACTGACGTAAGAAATCTGTTATATTATTACATAAGTTTAAGGTTACTTTCTTAGGTAAGACTGACATAAGAAATTTGTTATACATATTATTTAGACGAACTAGATGCAAAAGTAATTTCAAAGTATGAAATTCACTGTATTTTAATGTTTAAATTAAACTAATTTCAATGAATGAAATAGGCAAACAATTTTTATTTTTTATTCATTGAAATGGTTAATTCCAATCATTGAGTAAAATAACGTAAGTAAATTCTATTGATTGAAATTAACGCCGATTATTTTAAACAATAAAATCAGTGGATACTTTTACTTACCAATCAGTTTAATTTAAACATTAAAATACAGCAAATTTCATACTTTGAAATTACTTTTGCGTCTAGCATGATGAAAGAAATAACGCGAAGTTCCTTGAATTTTTTGGCTACTTAGTACTTGGTCGATTAAATGAAAATATGGTTTAAAATTAATCAAAAAATAATGTATCTTAATTTAATATGAAATAAACATCATATAGATTTTTATGATTCCGGTTCCTACTGCTTTATGACGTAAAAATTTTGAAAATAGCGTCGTACTTTCAAAAGTACACATTTTATTCAATGGTCATGTGAAAAATTATGTATGTACTCATAATCATGGTTGCAAGTACTTACAAGTACCTACTTATTTTTTAAATTTAAAAAAAATATCAACAAAAGATTTACGAGTTATTACGTGTAAACTATTAAGGAATTCTTCATTGATAAACAAATTTTATAATAATATTATAATATGGTCCGGTTATTGTGTTTCAGACAAATAAGGGTAAAGTTGTCAAATAACATTGATATATTAGATGTTAACAGTTGCAATATGCAGTAAAGGTTGCCTATGATAAGTAGGTATCTACTATAATATAGTAGAAATCTACTTATCATGGGCAACCCCTATTGCATAATACATCTCGCTTATGTGGCACTATTCGTTAAGTATATAAGTTGACACTGGCTGCATTGCAATTTGAGATTTAGGAATCCGAACCTCGGCAAATAAACGAGTCACGAATTGTGGCCCAAGATAAAATTTAGCTTTTTCACTGGAATTCCTTGTTGGAGCCAGGATTGTTCCGTCAGGATCGCCATGGAATTTCCGTGGCCTTACGCTAACCCACAATTTACTCATTTGGAAGAGGGAACTGATTTCAGCCAAGTGAGCTGTTTCAGTATTCACTTATTTTGCCCCATGATGAAAAATAAAGAAGGGGGCTTCGTCATTCTTAGCCTAAGAATCTTAGGTCATATTTATGTCACATTTATTACGTAAATATTATGTAATGGTATGATGTCAGTGTTACATCAAGATGTTTACGTCAGAGTCTGACGTAAGGAAGTGTGAAATAATGACTCTTGTATGACTCAAGTCTGACCTATATCTTACGTAAGCGTGACCTGACATGACATCATATTTACGTCATATTTACGTAATTGTGTTTACTGGGATATAGGTACCTTTTAATCCTTTTAAATAATGTGATATAACAATTATTGTAATCTCGAATATCTCGGAAACGGTTTATTTTATCGAAGTTTGAGAGGTACACCTTTTTAATGGTAGCCGAACCGAAATTGCATCAAATGTTATAAAAACCTAACCTCAAAGTTTGTATGGGACAATAAGCTTAAAGCAACCCCCGTTTCTACGACACTGTGTTCACTTAAACAATTGTAATTATGTGTGAATATGTGTTTTGGTAGTAAGTGACACCGTAGAAGTTATATTAAAAAAAACTGATATGATAAGTAACACTATCACCCTGTATCTTGGAAACATAAGTAATTAGGAAAAATATTTATTTAGGTTTTCGACCTAATTTTACTTGCTGAATCTTTTCCTAAATTTATGCCAATAAGCTTAGGGACACCTTGTATATATATAATCCTTAAAAACTATTACTATTTTTAATAGTAATTGTTTTTTGTATTGGAAGCAGTTACAGTATTTTTTTAATTTCAGGTGATAGATGGCTAGTCTCGTGCCTAGGAGTACTTTACCTCAACAAAGGACTATTTTATAGGGTAGTTCCTGCAGACCAGTCATTTCAAGGAGAACAATATGCGGGAGTTTTTAGGTTTAGGTTGTGGTGGTGTGGGGAGTGGACTGAAGTTCTTGTTGACGACAGATTGCCAACTGTACATGGCAGATTAGCATTTTTACAGTCACAAAATAGCGATTACTATTGGCCTGGATTGTTGGAAAAAGCATATGCAAAGTAAGTGGACTATTTTTTTTTAAATAAAGATTATCAAATTAGTATGGTTTCTGGGTAGGTTCCCATGTGACTTTAAGCGTAACTTGAGATTAACATAAATAACAATAGGTTTTATATTATTAAAAAAGAAAAACGGTACATCTTTTAAGACACGTATAAAATGCTATTTAAAAAAACTTTTCTTTTATAAAATAAGTAGAGTAGAACATTCACAATTTTTACTAAAATTTTGTTTTAAATTTAAAACCAAAACCTACTAGGTTTTTTTTTGAGATTATGTTTCCTATAGTTGATTTTTTTATAAACATTCATAAGCGTCATTGTGTTTTATAACTTTTTAGTCTATTTTTTTTTAATTACGAAGTAAGTTGTATACCAGAATAAGTTTACTGCGATTAGATATTTAAAACGACAAACAAAAAATAAACATCTGAAAAAGAATCGTTTTAATACGTATGTTTATATGAAATTATATTCTAAAGAATCGAATCGCAAATGCCGAAAACCTATTAAATTTTTAACCTACGTCTTTTTACAATTCTTTTATACTTATTCTCCCACAAAGAAATAACAGCACCTACATACTAATTTTAAACATATCCTTTTTGGTATTAGATAGGTTAATAACTGAAGATTCATTGTACTTTTCCTTGAATGTTTATAGGAATCGTAGGAACTACTATTTACATAGAAAATTAATTATGAAAAGTCATTGAATATTGCGATTAGAAGGAATGTAGACACATAGGAAGTAATTTAAATTGTATTATGGATAATTGTTTTTATACACATGCCCAACAAGATTATCATTAATTAAGGATTGTGGGTATTTTGTTTTTTTTAATTTGAGTACGTACAATTTTACTGTTAAAGTAATTTTAGTTGTAAATTCCAGAGCAAATGTTCACAACTCTTATTTACCTACAATAAAAGCCAAGTAAAATGTTTTCATTCAAACGGTACCAGCATTCACGTTGATAAAGTCAACAAATTAAACCGAATTAAACAAAGGAACATGGAAAGAGGTGCCGGAAGTAAAGCAAATATGTTTTGCTTTATCTAACTTACGAACACGCCATTTGTTTCTGTCTTAATAATTATCGTTAAGATACCCCCAAAATATGATTATTAAACATATTTTGTCAGTTGAAAATACGATTTGCTATGATTCTAAGAATAATATCCGTTTTGATCAATTTTGTCATGGTGTTTAGATACGTAGTACCTAGTAAGTAATTAAAAAACTTGACATTTTGGTTTTTGGTTTGCCCACTCTGTATATATGTTACGGCTAATGTGCAAACTTGGATAGTTTATAAACTAGCTGGATAGTTTATAAACTAGCCAAACTGTCAGCTATTTTAATTGAAAATGTATTTTCAACTAAATTAGCGGCTAGTTTACAAAATAACCAAGGATCTTGGCTAATTTACTTGAAATTATTAGGGAAACTAAAATAGCTGGATAGTTTGTATACTATCCAATTCAATTTTGCTAATATGAAAACCAAAATTTCTAGTAACACAAAATAGCCAAGCTTTAGCTAGTTTGTAAACTAACCAACTAATTCTCTGGCTATTGCCCATTTTAGTTGGGTTTTATGCTCAATGGGACGGGGGGCCCAATGGGGCGGGGTCGGTTGGGTTGTGTTGTTGAGTTTGGGTTGGTTTGGGTTTTTTTCTCTCATTTTTGGCCATTTGACCAATGGGGCGGGGGAGCAATGGGGCGGGGTCGGTAGGGTTGTGTTGTTGAGTTTTCTAACAAGGAAGCGTTAAAATTTTGCCTATGATTCATTTTAAAAACTTTAAAATGCACAAAACAAATCCGGTTAAGCCGAACGAAAAACAATGCCGTAACCTCACTTTTTTAATAAATTAGCCAGAGAATTGGTTGGTTAGTTTACAAACTAGCTAAAGCTTGGCTATTTTGTGTTACTAGAAATTTTGGATTTCATATTAGCCAAACTGAATTGGATAGTATACAAACTATCCAGCTATTTTAGTTTCCCTAATAATTTCAAGTAAATTAGCCAAGATCCTTGGTTATTTTGTAAACTAGCTGCTAATTTAGTTGAAAATATGTTTTCAATTAAAATAGCTGACAGTTTGGCTAGTTTATAAACTATCCAGCTAGTTTATAAACTATCCAAGTTTACACATTAGCCATAACATATATAAGTTTATTGCAAGAAAAAAACGTTTATGATTCTCAGATTACATTCTTCTTTATTTCGTGTAGATTATGTTAAACGCATGTGTAAAAAGAAAACCAGGACATAAAGTACCAGCATGCATCGCAATTTATAGCGTTAAGCGGTCGTTGGTTTTTGTTGGGCTGCTTTTGATAATTGTTGCAATTATTCGAGTCAATAATTTACAAACAGCACGAGTGACAACGAAATTGTCTGAATCCAGTTTTTATTATCTGTCGTGCATAAATAATAATTATTGTTTTGATTATTTACGAACTTGTTTTTTTATTTTAAATTATGCGTACCTACTCTTATTTTAAAGTTTTCTTAAATATTATATACTATAACGTTATAACGGAAAAAAAGGTGTTTACATATAAATAAAATAAAGTATCTCGTTCAGTTCCGTTTCCATTCCAGTTCTTGTTTTGTTCCCATTCCCAACAAAAGTTTAAAAAAAGCAATACGTATTCCTTTTGTTGACTTTTTTTAACTTTTAATTTACTTTTTTACTTTTATTTGATTTTTTAATTCTTTTTCTTTTTTAGTACTACTCTCGATAAAAACGAAAAACAATTTGATTTAGTCTTTTATATAATTTTTGTAATTAAAATTACACTAGGCAACGCAAAATTTTTATAATTAAAGCTTATTCTAAAGCTTAGTTTTTTTGTATAGGAATTTTTAAAATCATGGAACAAAAATAGTTACCAAAAGTTTAAAAAAAGCTGAAGAAAAATATTATTTAAGTTAATAAGTTTTAAAAGTTATGCTCTTTTAAAATAAATTAGTCAAAAATTACTAGTCGTCATGGTAAAAAATAGTGGTTCCCACGTGAGTCTCGTTTTCGAGAGTCTCGTCTCGGTTTCAAGACGATATTTGAATCAGACGAGACGAAACTTTTATTTGTCTTGTCTCGAGTCTCGTGCGAGACGTCTCGCAGGTAAACATTTCTGCAAAGCAGCAAAAATGTCTTTTAAAAGAAAAGCCGCTGTCGGCAGACGTTTAAACTATTCCTTCTTGGATTATTTCTTTAATACTTTTTTCTAAAGCTGTAATACTAGGAACGATTAATATTACGCGTTTTCGGATAAATAAACTATTAAAACATGCTCCCAAACATTTTGCAACAATTATTTATAATAATATTTAGTTTCAAACATGTTTACACAAAGAAAACGCCGAATATATATTGGTCCCAGTGGCGGCACGTGACATTTTGTTTTGATGAGGCAGGGGCAATTTATTGAATATTTTATAATCGATGTAATCCAAGTATTGAATTTTTTCATTATAAAGAAAAATATTTAACTTATCTTTAATTTTACATGGGGAGGCACTGCCTCCCAGAGGCGTAACTACAATGTGGCAGAGCGGGCAAAATGCCACGGGCCCCGGCCTAAAGGGCTCCCGGCCGAAGAACGCTTCCGGCCCGAGAGGGCCGCGAGCACAGTTAGGCATAAGCAATATTGAACTTCTTTAAATTGACTGACCACCAATTTGGTCCATATTTACTTTTTATTGGGATACAACTTAGATTAAATAAACTTATAAACCAACACCGTTGAACATATACAGGGTGTTATGTAATTAATGTTATATATTAAAATACTAAATACCTTTTGACATAAGGAGTAAAGGAAAAATATTTAAAAAAATATATTTTCAAAGATTAAGAAAAAATATGCATTAGAAGTTTTTTATATTTTTTGTGATACGCCACTGGTTACACAATTGGTTTATCTCTGCACACTTGTGTTCTGTGAGTACATAGATACCAACCATAGATAATACCAACCAACAAAGTAGCTGCACGTTGCCAGATGTAAAAAATTGTTACTAAAAATTTTTCTTGCAAAAAATAAATAAAAACTTAATAAATACAAAAGTTTTATGCCCTTAAAGCTCTAATACCCTTCTGTATTTATTTACTCATCCAGCTAATAGCTTAAGCAATGATTAGAAAGTCTAGTACCTATTTTAAAAAATCCATAACCACAAAATTAATTTTTTCATCGGTTTTTTTCTTTCTGTTTACTCAGATGAAATTGGGACCAGTTCACAGGTTAAACTTTAAACATTTAATTTTTGTAAATAAATCCAAAAGCACTTCCCTTAGTTAAGATATTTACAATTTGAGCACATAACCTAAAATTTGAAAGAAATGCACTAGATTCTGTCATAAAAGTTGGCAGATTTTGTTTGAATTTACCTTCAGTACAAAAATGACATAACAAACAATTAATTAAAACGCCAAATTGACAATTTGCATTGTTAATTTTGTCATTTTTGTAATTAAGCTAAATTTAAACAATGTTTGTCAACTTTTTTGACAGAATTTGGTTGTTACCAACCATAACATAATAAATTAAATTAGGCAACCAGATAATTTTAAAGTTCCTAGTCGATGAGTGGCGTACTTTTTGGTAGGATTAAGGTTATTATAAATTATTTTTAGTCTTTGGAATTTAGAAAAAAAAAGTTTCAGGTGCTCCTTTATGTACCCTAAGGAACAACACATTTTAATATATAACATTAATTACATAACACCCTGTATAAAAGCCAAGAATAATAATAATAATAATAATAATATTAATGTTTATTTAAGTAAAACGAGTATTACAAGAGCCTTACAATAGCCTTAATAAACATACAATTCCACAAAAGCATGTATATGCTTGTCTGTGGTTAAAATAGAAAAATGTAAATAATTATTTAAAACATTATAACAATTAAAATAATCAAAACAAGTAAATATTACGAAACAATTAAATATACACACAAGTAATAAATAAATTAATCCTAACTA